ATACATATGTATATATATACATATATATATATATATATATATATATATATATATATATATATGTATATATACATATATATAATATATATATATATGCATATATATATATATATATAATATATTTATATATATATATATATATATATATATATATATATATATATATATATATATAATATATATATATATATATATATATATATATTTATATATATATATATATATATATATATATATATATATTATATATATATATATATTATATGTATATATATGTATATGCTATATATATATATATATATGATATATATATATGTATATATATATACTATATATGTATATGCATATATATGCATATATTATATATATATATATACTATATATATATAAATTATTACTATTTATATTATTATATATTTCGCATATTTATAACTATTTATATATATGATATAATAGCAATTAATGATATCATTAGATTAATTGATATTATAGGATATATGCAATGACAATAATAATTATAATTATATATATTAATTTATAGACAATATTATAGATAAATGTAATATATATATAATTATTACTATAACTTAGTACCGTATTTTAATTTTGTACGTATATGTGAAATATTATTGAAATAATAAGATATATATATATGATCTATATATATTTATATTGTGACTATTATATGTACTCTATATATAAGTTATATATTAAATTATGAAGTATTACTATATTATAATATGATTAACATTTTAATCTTATAATAATACTATTATTTATACTAATTTATCTAATTATATATATATTGTATACCATTATAATTACTATATATTACATTATAATATATTGACATTTATTACATCTATATTTATTATTCAATAAAAAAAAGGTGAATATTATAATATACTATTTAGTATAATGACAATCATTACCTATAAACTATATCATCTGATAATTAATTAGTTTAATAATTACCTCATAAATTAATACTACATATTACTCAAAAGCTAGAAAATGTATTTTTATTCTGTGATTATATGCCGTTATTCTCTATCATAACTAATAAGGTACTATATATACTTATGTATATTGCATTATATATATACATATCATATTCATACGTATCCCTGTATCTATCTAGATTTTACTACTAGTATTATTTTATATATGTCGTATATATATATGTATATAATATATTACTTTATAATTTATATATATGCATTATATATGAATATATTTATAATTCTTTATATCTTCAGTGGCCCTATTATTTACTATATTTTAATATCAAATATCGATAATCTGTATACTATCTCTTGACTCTCTCATTATTATAATCATTATCATCATTACTGTTCATCATTTTTTAATGATCATATTATATATGTATTCTATATATATATATATTAATTATGTATATAATATATATGGCAATTCATCATATATATATATATGCAATTGAGTATCATTTATATCTCATATTATTATTAGCAAGTTATATAATAAAGTAATAATTATTAATTAATATAGGCTAATTATATATATTATAATTATTACTTAGTTATAATATATGTCATTTATATATTTATACTTATAATTATTATATATTAATATATATATAATGTTCTATTATTAATATTATATATGCTTATATTAATTTCTATTAATATATATTTATATAATATATTAAATAATATATCATATATTTATATATTTTATCATTAATATTATAATATATATATGTAATTAATATTAATAGTAATATAATAAATGTATATAATAGATTACTTGGAAATAATTAATATGTACTCAATAGTATAAATAATTAAATTATTAATTAGTACAGCAACCACATAATTGATTAATTGAATGTCAATTTAAGTTTACTTAATTTATCACATTATTATATATCTAGTATAGAAATTATTTGGAATATTAGTTAATTATTGCTATATATTATTGCCTAATATAAGTAATTTATAATGAAGTATTATATATGTGCATATATATATATTATTACTATATATATAATTATATATATTATATTTGCATATATTAATATATTATGAACTATTTATCATTATTCATTATTATAATATTATTATAATTTAATTGTTTACTATATTTGTCTACTCCATATTTCATTGATCTCAATTAGTGTATATATGCATTATACCATCATATTTATTGTCTAAATATAATATAATAGTAGTAATATATGCCGAGTCATTGGAAATATAACTCATTCATAATTATATAATATAATTACCTGAATTATATAATTAGTTATAATATTCTTATTATTTATAATTAACTATCTCTCACATTATAAATATATATAATAAATAGTATATAGTGTATATCTCTCTAGAAAGTATTTTATTATTTCTTACTAACGTATTATATCTATCTATATATCATGGATATAATGGGATAAACATTAAAAATATTGTGAATATATATTATAATATTAGAATTAGTGATATAATATTTAATATTA